CACTTGCCCCCACCCCATCCAAGCTGGCCCCCTTCCATCTGCTATTTTTTCCACCTCTCCATCCTGTACTCCGCCCACCTCCTCCACAATTAGATGTAAATATGGGTTTTAGCCACCCGCTAGCCCTCATATGCTGCCCACATTGCTTCACTCTAAGGTAAAACTTTAATAGATTCAGTGAAACACTAAACTGTGGGGTGAAGACACCCAGCTGGCAGAGTCCAGCTGCTCAAAGCCCTTTGTACATTCCCATGCATTCTGCAAAATGCTTTCCTGTTAAACTAGGAAACTTACCCTGCTATCAACAGAACGGCCTGAAATTAATGAGCTCAAGTTGTGGGGGTTAAGTACTGTAAAACTGGAGATAGTCAACACGCCTTTTCCTGCACATTTAAAACGTAAGAACTCCTGTGGAGAGTCACCACTTTTTCATTATATGCCAAAGCCTATGTACAGCACAAATGGGCTCCAAGCTTGGTAACGCATGACCCCCAAAACAAGAACCAACCAGTGCTTTCAGAAACATTCAAATAGTCCCAACTCTGTTGAGATGACAACCAAGAATAAAGAAGGTTGGCAGTGGTGGCAGCAGTGTTGGGCTGGTGCTTCATACTTTGGAATCTACTCTTGTTAAGTCTTTAATGCTCTCTCTCTCTCCCCAAAATATTCTTCGGATTGCGTTTTGTAGTTACACTTGAAAGAAGCCTTTTTGTATTTCCTTCTAGATTTTGAAACTGATTTGGTCTGTCTTCACAATACTAATAATGGTATTTTACATTTCTCTTTACTTGAAAACCCACTGGTCTGAATTGAAAAAAAAATGAACAAGCATGACAAGTAGTGTACATTATGATGGTGTTTCTTCAGAAAAAAAAGAAATCGATTCATTCACAACACCTACAGCACCTGCTGCTCTCAAAAGAAAAAATATATCTATGAGTCATATCCCTGATTTTGGTAAAAAGCATTGATTTAATGCATTTGACTGATCTCTGCCAATTTAATTCTGCTAACCTAGTTTAAATAAAGGCTGCTTGTTCTCAGATTTTCTCATGATGTAATTATCATATGGAAAATCCTGAGCAAGAGAAATGTTTAGTGAGCATTTCACTGGTCTAAAATTAACAGGAAAGGTGAAGATTTCCTATAACTGTGCAAAATTAATTCCTCCCTTGTCAGAGCTAGAATAGGGCACAGTCCTGCAGCTTTACTCAAGAGCTGTGCACCCACCTGTCTTTTATGAGGGTGAGAAACTCAGGGTCCACATACATACAATGCAAACATCTTAAGTGACTTTGTACTACTTAATTGGAATAGCAGACAGACAAACAGTCCTCAGTATACACCTCTTACAGATGTCGACAAACAACAAACTAGGTGATTCAATCTTCCATAAAATCTGCACTGATTTTACAATTAACCCACTTGAATGGCCTAAACTTTACCATCAGGAATTTTAATATAAATTCCATTTTTTAATTTTCTTCCAGTCTTGGATTATCTAACTGACCTTCTTCCCTCTTAAGAATAGGAACTCTATTTCGTCTATGGGTCTCATTCTCATTTACTTTGCAACTTGAACAACTCATGATAACCACTGAACAGAGATGCACCGTGCTATCGAAACAGAATTGTGCCCTTACGTATTTTTCTAGCTCTCTCTCTGCATAAACAAAGCACAGAGGAAAAACAGATTCTCAGTTTTTATTTCATTGATTTTCCCATTTGCTTGAAAGGACTTCCAGAGGCAATTGCGCATTTCTTGGAACAGGAACTTCATAAAGAGTGATTCAGGCAGATTCTACACAGAGACACAATTAGGACAGTTGCCCATCCCTAACAGAAGTGGCTGTCTCTGACATACTGATTTAACAATGACATAATTTGAAGCAGGCCCCATTGCAGCATCTATTTGAAAATATCCCCATCATATAAATTTTTTTTTTTTTCTCTCCAGTCTGCTTGTCTGCTGAAAACATCTCCTTGCCTCCCTGCATGACAAAGCATCTAGAAATGATGCGTGCTAGAAGGTTTGTAGTATGAAAAGCCATTGAACTCCCAAGAGATCCTGTTTCTTTTGTCTTTGTGGGAGATGAAAAAAAGAAAGAAAAAAAAAAAAAAAAAGAGACTCAACAAGAAGCAGATAAAAGAAAAAAAACAGGGTAAAAGTATGGAAGAAGCAGTGGATTAGAGCACAAATGCCAAATTATAAGGAAGGACCAAATGCACCACTGACTGGAGACTCAATTGCTTTTTGCGTACTGGACTTCATCTGACTTTGTATATATGTTGGCAAGCTTCACTACAGGCTATTTTTCTCCTTCATCTTTGTTTTACTTGCATCATTCCTTATGCACAAATCACGTATTCCTTTACAGATTACAAAAGAAAAAAAATGCCACTGAATTATAGATAGGCAATGTTTTCTGCTCTCCATATTTGAATCTACATTTCTTTTTTCCCCCCTTTCCTGTTGTAAGGCTGTAGCTTTTTCTCCCTACTGCTGAGCAGAAGCATACTGTTATTGTATGTTACGTTTCTTCTCTTCCAAAAGAAAAAGACAGCCCAAGCATAATGAAATTGTGACCTGAATGTGGATTCCATTTCTATTTTAAAATTACCTGACTTAAATTGTTTTAAGACTTCCAAGTGTTCGTATTTTCCAATTGCAGGAACAAAGTTAAGTACTTGGTTACGTAACGAGAAAGTTACCAACCTATAAGCAGAGCAGAATTATAAAATAGACAAACATGCTATCTGTCAAAACAAGAATAAAGCACATTGACCCGAGCTCAAAAGGGTCTTGGTGAAAAGAGGAAAAACCATGGCTCGTCTTCATGCCAGGATGGATGACCCTGCTCAATTCCTATGGGAATGCATCAAGGGTGACAAAAGGCAGACTAGCGAAGAACTGAGGGAAAAGAAATTCTTCCAGTTTAAAGAGAAGAAAACTGAAGTTGTGACAACACATGAAGATAAAGGATTAGCATTATATGAAGAAAGGAAAAAAAAACCCCAAACCCAGGGCTATCTTACTATTGGAATGAATTAATGGAAAAACTTTAAAGATAGACTTAACCTGAATATCTAAGACATTAATCACCAAGAACTAAGCCTGTCATGGCTGATAAGAGTGTGAAACTGGGCAAGAAGATTAAAAGCAACTCTATGTCTGGCTAATGCATAGAAACCAAAAATAAGATAAATGAGACTGTATTAGGGAACATGGGGTAGGATAATGCAAAGCGCAGAAAAGTACTAACTTACATGTAAGCAAACATCAGATAACCAGATGATCTGGAAAAACAAGCTATCTGAAGCCAAATAAGCCATCTCTTCTTAGAGGGAGAGAGGAAAATAACAAAGCAAAGAACCTGAGTCAAAGTCAACTACAGACTAACGGTGCTAATATGACAACATTTTGTTGTCATATTATTGATATGTGATATTTAAGAACAAATTGTGAAGAAAAATAATTAGATAAGGAACATGCATAAGTAGAAAACAAGAGAAAAGGCAGTTACCAGTTACCAGTGAGAGATTTTTGAGAGAGTAACCAGATATATTTTTCATAAGGAGACCACCTCACAGACAGGAAAGTGCTGAAGATCAAAGCCTCCTTTCCCACCCCATAAAGAATCTTTCACCCTTCAAACAAGGTTCAAATCCCATGACTCTATGTATATGGCACATGCGCTGCACCCTTTCTCCCACGTTTCCTGCTTTTTCCTACTTCCTAAGTCATCACGTGAATTCTTTTGGGCTTTGGTAAAATAGGTCATCTCCATCTAGACAGAGACACTCAAAAAGAACTCAGGATCAGCTTCAGACTCTGATGCCTATCGTGCTATGAGGATTCATAAACTGTAATTTGAGAACATATCTGTCCAGGGTTCAGTGAAGTATTTGATATGGCTGTTCACTGAACATTTTCCTGGAGAAAGATTACTGCAACTCCTGCAACAGATTGAGAAAGTAGCAGGGTGAACACCCTACCAATTTTTAAGATGGAACTGGCAGGCTTATGAAAACATTTAGATGATATGGTTGCATGTGATAGCAAGATAAAGATCTGTGTAATCTAGGAAGCACTTCTGAGTTCTGCCCTCACAGGACCATCTCCAAATTTGCTTCTTAGCGGTAGGTGAGGACATGTTTTACTCTTAAGACGTCCAGCAGAAAAACTACGGTTTTCCAACACATCATTTCTGATGAGTGCTCATGGCAAGTATGAGGTTCTACTTTGACAGAGCGACTATTTCTTTTCCTATCTAAAACTCTTCCTATCTTCCTCTAAGCATATAAAAACCACAATAAAGAAATCAGACAATAGAAATTAAAATACCAATTCCAAGAATGCATGTTTTCAATATTCTTTTTTAATCTGTTTCTTAACCGAATACTAACCACACCCCACTACTTATTTAAGCTATTGTGTACTGTACAGATTAAGCAATGAAAACATGAATAGCTCATGATGCTATTTGGATTGGAAGGAAGAGGTATTCTTACAACTCAAATCTTCATTTGCTTTCTCATAAATCTCACTGCACTGTCAAAAAGTTCCTAGAGCAGACGAACGCAAGAGTGCCTTGATTTCCCTTTCAAGCCAGCAATGTAATATGCAGCATAAAACAAAGCATTGGGTTTTTGCAGAAGCATTATGTTTTTCCAATTGCCAAAACGTTAAATGATTGCGTGAGTCTCATTTCAAGATTGATACTGGGAACACTGCTAAAAGCCCACACTGTTTGGTACTTTTATTGCATTGTAGCACTAATACTTCTACGTCTCTTACAAAACTCAATGAATATCAGTGCTACTTTCATTGTTTTGTTCCTTCAGAACACTAGAGGAAGAAAAGGTTTACATGGATAAAACAGGAGGTGTAAGACAATCTAAAAGAAATATTATTTTTAAAAGTAATTCTCTCTTTCACAGAAACTGTTCCTCTTTCTTCCTACCAGGACTGTGTTAACACCATCTGTACTAGACCTTACCTCAGAGCTGCTTGGGACTTCTGATCCTGTAGTTGAAATAGTTTCACATAAAGGTCCATTGCAATCTTCCCCTAAGGAACATTGAAAGAAAGATTCACATAAATACATTCCTTATTTTAAAATATGACTGTATCTGAAAATGAAGTGAACCTTGAAGGCGTGGAACTACAAACAAGCAAAAGCTGGAAAATAATGCTCAGCTACATAAAATCTTCAATAATGGTTCTTTGAAGGGAAAAAGCACAGTGGGTCACAATATACTCAGTCTGTACTACCTGGTTGTAACCTTGCGGTCACAGGAACACATTTTTAAATGTGACAAACAAAAATCTGTCAGCATCACGTATTTGATGAGAACATTCTTTCTTGTCTCACGTGTCTGATAGGTGGACATAGCTATTAGACATAGCCATTAGCTCACACCTAGAGCTTTTCTCCCTCAGTTATGAAAGTTCAATTACTGCTCGGGTTGCTTGCTAGAAATTGAATTCTTGTTGCTAAGGGATTAATGGTGCATAACCTCAAGATTACAGGTGCCCACATAATGGAGATATGATGATAGGATCAAGAATAGTAATATCAACTTCAATTACCAAGCTTTTCTTGTTAAAAAAAAAGCAAAACCAAAAAAACGCACACCTTCATTTTAACAACAGTATTGAACTCCAACATGACTTTCCCGTAAAGACAGTCAGTCCACTAAGGACACCGTTACTTAAACATGATAGGGAAAAATCACATTGAACATCTTCAGACCCCAAAACCATACTGAGACGTTTGCTGGGTTTGTGGCTCTGAACCTACTCTGCCAACAATGCCCTCTGGAGAGCAATTCCGAACCCGTAAGGCAGGCTCCTGCTCCAAGAAGTTTTTGTGAACAACCATCTCCCTGCTGCTTAGACAGGCAGTCTCCTAAGTCAGGCATCTAAATAACTCCACCACCAATGGAAAAGGATAAGCAGTTTTGAAAATAGCTCATCACAATCTAGAATAGGCATCTAATAAAGTTGCCTCTTTCTTAAGAAAAAAAAAAAAAAAAAAGATTCATCATACTCCTGTCTTCATCAAACAGCAAGCAAGTATTGATGGGTATAGCTTAGACTGGACAGACTGACTAGCACAGCTTAGACCGGACCAGTGTCAGACAACTATGGCTAGATTAGTCCTACCAATAAAACCAACCTGCTTTTTTTTTTTTTGTAACCTGCAAATATTTGATTTAAGTGCAAAAAACCACATCCAGGCAGGATATAAACTGTTTCTTCTAAAATCTAAAATAAGCTACTTAAACAAAAGAAAAAAATTAGAGAAAACAAAATGCTCTCAAGCCGTGTGTAAGTTCACTTACAGAAAATGGTCTCTGTAATTTATAACCCTACATATGACGTGATGAGCAATAGTATATAATGGTATATAACCAAGTTTCTGAATGCTAAGACATTCAAAGTTGTTGCATGCTATTTTGCTAAAGCAAACTATGCCTGCAAAATGTGTATTAGTTGATATAATTTGACCACTGAAGTTTTATTCATGCACCCATAGAAGGATGTTTGCATACACTGATACAAGTTGGGAGACCACCATTAAGTCACCTCCAAAAAGTTAGCGTGGAGGTAAATAATTTGGTATCATTCTGCCTACCCAAATACATCACAAATGCGTCAGGGACTACACTGTAAGCCAGGCCACCAAACACAGAAAAGGCTTGCAAGAACAGCTTCAGCACAGAACTAAATTCACTTCACCTCCTGACACAGCGCAAGCGTTCAACATGTATGAGAAACCAATGGCACTTGATGGGAGAATATTGTAATAAGAACACAGAAGTCTTAACTCAGAAAACCAACTACCAAAATATTCAGATTAATCTTCTTGAGAAACTGCTTCTGCAAAGAGTATTCCTAAGCAGAGGGTCTGCCTTCACACAGGGCTGGCTCTAAGCATACGCAAGCCTGGCGGCTGCCCAGGACAAGCAGACCGCTGCCCGATGGAAGAAAGAGATCATCGTCACCACCACGCTCTGCTGCCGGCTCTGCCCACAGCCCTGGGAAGCAGGTGGCTGCTGCAGCATTGGCCAAAGGTGGCGAGCCCAGGAGCAGAAAGCCCAAACATTCGGTCACACAACGCACCGTGGCAGGAGCAGCCTGGCACCTTGTCCCTGGAGCAGTAACACTCAATTTGCCTATGCCGCTGAGAGGATTTGAACAGATTCCACAGTCTACAACACCCTTGCTGTTTGTTTTTTTTGGATTATCCTTTCTGTAGTTGTGAAAGTTTAACCTCAGAAACAAGCACGATTCAGAGTTCTACATTTTAAATGCTCTCCCAGCACCATAGAGGTGATTACTAAGTCAACCTGTGAAAGGAAATCCTCTTGGTATCTCCGATCCAGGGGAATAAAACTGAATACCTAGTGCAGCACACAAGAAGGCAAACAGAGAATGCAAAACATACATATATTAACTGAGAAGTGCAACACACTTAGTACATTCACTCCTTGAAAGACACATAAACAGGTTCCTAAGCAGTATAAGAAATGCACGACCAAGTCACGTAGGAAGGTATAAAGGAGCCACAACCCAGAACTGCAACAAGCACCAGGAATGGAAATGCCCAACTGATTCCTAACCAAGACAGCTGCCCACAAATAGCTAAAACTTGACTTGCAAATCACACTGCAAAAAGCTTGGCTCATACGTGGTATCTATGATTCATATAAACTTAAGTCTGATTTCCAAGAGGCTCTCAGCATTAAAAAAAAAGAGGGACAGAGGACACACACACAAGGGAGGAAGGCATAACACCAGTTAGTACAATACCTTCTGACCGTGACGGCTGGAACTTGGTGAGAATCACAATGTCATCTTTAAAAGGAAAAAACACTTCAGTAAGAAGCAGAAGTAAAATCCACTTTTAACTTGAACCCATTTAATAATTTTCATCTGTCCTTTATACTACTTCCACTAGATCCAAACAAAAGAACACGCCTTGGGAACAAGAGACTCTGGCCTAGACAGAAAGCACAGAGCGGGTTCCTCTTGAAACACCGACATTGATCTTTTTGTCCTGGCACCTTATTCACCAGCACAAACAAGGCAGCAGGGGGGACAACTATAATTTCTGCTAGTCAAAAAAGCACCTTTAGAATTAAAAAAATTACAGCTTCGTATCTGAAGATGGAGTAAACCAATAACATTCTGACAAAACCATCCTATTTTAGGGAACGGCCTTGTTCGTCAACACGACACGCTCTACTGTATGTGAGGAAATCTAGAAACACCTGCACACCCAGAAGAACAAATGAGGACACCTACTAAACATCAGCGGCCCTTCAATACTAAACTCATTTGCACAAATTGCAGTCACTCCTTGCAAATTTTTTGTTCAAAATTAATCCCAGAACCACACTAGGACTACCAGAACCCATTAAAATTGTTTCAAACATAGACGACTTTAATATTTATTCAAATCATTGGCCTTTCACGGGCACGCACATATTCCATCTGAAAGAAATAACCTCTTTCCCAATGTAACTGTCGTCTCCAACAGCCTCATAGTTCTGCACACAGCTATTTGTAACTCCTTAAACATGTGTGTCCTGGGAGTTTGCACATGACTGGAAATAAGGGAGCGTGACGTGGCCTATAATTTTGCAGTATTAACATATGCTGTCCCAAACTACACCCTACCGCAGGGCAACCTGCTTATAAACTTTCGGTATGCCACCCCTAAGAATTACAGACCATTTGTATTTCAATTACAGACCCAGATGATCAGATCAACAGTAAACCAAAGCAGCTCACAGAAATCAACATTCAGAACTGAAGACTGGAGCACATATTCAAGACTGATTTTGCCTCTTAAAAAACAAATAGTTTACCCCACAAAAAAGGGTACTTTTATTAGCGCAATCTTACGATTTCTGTAAGAAGCATGAAATGTGGCTTCTTGTGTAATGATACGATGGGTCATTCTACAATAGTTTAACTTTGGTCACAGTGCCTGAATCACTTTCTTTTTCTACATGGCAAAACTGACATTTCAGGAAAAAATGAAAGGAATTTAATTCCACATCTGGACCTTCTGGTTAAAAGAAATGGTTTAATACAATTACTATTTCAGGAATCAAAGTCATCCTTCAAGATCTTCCTATTCATTCCATGATGAAAACCAAAATCCCTTAGTGGTCTAGACACCAACATGCTCACAGTTTTTCAAAGATGCTACTGTAGCTGCAATTTACAGAACTGGCATGTAAGCTCTGCAAGTACGACTGGCCATCATGGATTTCAAGTCAGATAAATGGATGGGAGACCACATGCGTGACCTACTTACCCTTTACACGACACTATGACAGAAAGTGGAAAACTCTCTTTGATGACTACAGGGGTAATACAGGCTTTATAAAATTGAAAATTAAAGTCACCTGGAAGAAAACAAGCAGCTCAAAATAAATTCTGCTTATTTTAACAAGCACTGTTTAATTTCATTTATAAAACCTCATAAAACACAAACAACTATTGAGTGCTGTCACAAAAAAGTAAGGATGCCTTTGTAAATCAAGGTCTCCTGCAGCCTCCTATTTTCTGATAGCAGAGATGAGGTAAGCAGCACAGCTCCGTGATGCCACAGGACTAGCAAAGTATCCCTCCACACCAGAAATTAGATGCACATTCTTTGGGAGAAGTGCAACCCACCACAGGCCATGTTCTGGTCACAACAGCTGTGCCTCAACTGGGAAGATAAAAGGTCCAGGACATGGGTCCCACCACAGGACTGCTCACTTGACTTATTAGTGCACTTTGCGGAGCGGTTTTTGGCTTCTAGCACTCTCCCTGACAGAGCAGAAACGTGCTCTGGAGGACACCACAGTCCAAGTTCTGGTCTTTGGAGAAGTCTGCCCTGCTTGGGAAGAAGGGAGTTCAGCCCCATGGACATGGCTGGACTGTGCTACTTGTCCTCCAGGCCAATGAAAAATCCTTGGCTTTTTTAATTACTAGCACAGGCACAGCCCGGGACACTCTAGCATCTTTAGCAGTACTTAACCAGCAATTTCCCTGGAAGATGATGC